GAGAGCCGGCGAGACGGAGCGCAGGCGGCCAGCGGGCAAGCGCATCCTCCCCTCTCGCGGGCGCCATCACAGCAGCGAGGCCCTTACCTTCCTCGTCCTCCCGCTCCTCCTCCGCGGCGTCTTCTGGGCAAAGCGCACATGCAAGAGAGAAGCCAGCGAGGCTGCGGAGCGTTGGCGGAGCGAGGACACGGGCAGGGACGGAGCGAGGACACGGGCAGGGACGGAGCGAGGACACGGGCAGGGACAGGGAGGCAGGACCGGGGCAGCGCCTGGACCCCATAGTGCCTCCAGCTGGGGCCAGAGAAGGCTGTCTGGGGGTGGGAGCGGATGTGGTCATGCTGCGGGCCAGGTGGCCTGGGAGACACCCTCCCCACTGGGCCTGAAGTGAGAGGCGACCCTGGGCAGCCGTGGTGCCGGCCGCTGGCTGGGGGGCACCTTGGGAGGTCGAGCTCCTCCCCACACGGTACCCTTGGTTCTGGGGGGCGGCTCTGGGGCCCGGCTTCTAGGTTTTGCTGGGTAGAAACCCAGTGGGTCCAGAGCCATCAGGTGAGTGAAGCCTGCTGGTGCTCGGGCCTGTGCAAGGGCTAAACCCACCAAGCTGGAGCGTCCACCACGTGCCCGGGGCCACGGAGCCCAGGCCTGCCCCTCCCGGGGGTGGGGGGCCCAGGGAGCCTGCCCCTGACCCGGGGGGCCTCTCCTTCCTCCTCTCTCTGCCTCCGCTGTGCCGGGGCCTGCAGATCTGAGCTGCCGGCCCGACCGGGTGGCCCTCACATGGGGCTGCTTCCTTTGACCCTCCACACCCACCGCCCGGGGGGGGCCCGGCTGGCCTGGCCACTGCCTGGGTCTGCAGCTGGCCCGGCAGCCCTGGCTGAGAAGCCAGCTCTGACCCCCAGCTCCTTCCTCTGCCCTTGGCTGCAGCCAGCAGGCCCCCTGGGAGTGGGTGGGGGTCCAGCCTGGGGTGCCCTCGGCAGGTTGCCCCTCGCGCGCCCCCAGCTCAGGGGCCTCCATGGTTGCTTAGGAACCAGCAAACAGCCCTTTGCAGGGGGCCCAGCGTCCCCCTCACCCAGCGCCTGGGGCCGGTGAGCCATGAGCCTGAGCCAGCGGTGGGTGCGCTTTGCGAGCTGGAAGCTGGTCGAGGGGCAGAAGGAGGGCTGCTGAGGGGCTGGGCATCTGTGGGGGCCCGGCTGGGGGAGCGGCTGGCAGGGCCGGAGTCTGCGAGGGCAAGGCCAGGCCAAGAGCTGGGGGGCAGTGGCCATGCTGCAAAGCCCTGGGCAGTGGGCAGCAGGGGCCTGGCGTCCCGTCCCCTGCCTGTCGTCTCTGTCTGTCTGCGGCGGGGCTGGTTCTGGGGACCCGCAGCCCCTACAAGCCTGGCCCCTGGCACCTCTGCCTGCTCTCCCACCACGCAGGTCCCTTTGTCTCACGGGGGCCTCTCTGAGTCCAGGGAAGGGAAGACAGTTTGGGGGTCATGCTTGGGGTTCACCGAGGCGTCAGGTGAGCGAGGGAGCTGAGGAGAAGGCCACCTGGGCCCCTGGCTGGAACCCTCACCCCGGGGGGCTCCTCACACCCGGGCACCTCAGGCTCTGACGCCGGCGACGGGTGGGTCCCTGGGAACTCACGCTGCCTCTTTGCATGCGAAGGCCCGGCTGCTCTGGTGCTGCTGTGCCCACTCGGGCTTCAGCCCCACGTGAGGCTTCACTCACTCGCCACCCCACACACACACACACACCTCACGCCCTCCCTCCCCGCCCCCCGCCTCACGTCCCCTCTTCGGTTTGCTGTCTGGGGCAGGGTGTAGGCCGCCCGCCCTGCTCTCCTCCTTGCTCTTCTCCACCCCACCCTGGAGGATCCTGAGGGTCTAGGTGGACCCCAGCACCAGCATCCAAAGACCCTACCCTAAGCTTGGCCTCCAGAAGGGCCACCCCCAACTTCCTGCTGGCGGGCTGGGAAGGGCCTCACCACACCCCTGTATGCTCCCTGCTGGGATGGGGGCAAGAGGAGGGCTGCACCCCACCATGAGCCCCACCTGAGCCAGCACTCCAGGCCTAACCTGTCCCCACTGGGTCCCAGCCCAGAGGAATGGGGCGAGAGTCACACAGGCAGGCAACGAGGGAGGAGGGAGGAGGGAGCAGGGAGCGGCTCGGCCTGGGACGGGGACAGCATACCTTCCTGGACCTCCTCTGTGGATGGACAGACAGACGCAGCGCATGTGGGGAGAGAGGGGAGAGAACGGCTGTGACTGGGGGCAGAGGCGGCCGGGGGCAGGGACAGGCAGGGCAGGGGTCAGAACACGCTGTGAGTAGGTTACACGGCCTCTTGTTCCTTCGGAGCCAGGCTCCTGCTCCACCCACACATGGCCACGTGTGCACACGCACCCACACGGGACTGAAGTCACGGCACATACCTGGTTCATGAGCTTCAGGGGCTAAGGAGGGCGCGGAACAAGAGGCAAGACCACGGGTCAGAGGTCAAAGGAGGAAGGATCCGAGGTTAATGGACACAGCCCGTCACCACGCGAGAGGGTCAGTGGCCGCGGCCGAGGGGTGGCATGCAGGAGGCGAGCAGGACACGGTCAGTGCTGACCCCAGCGCGGGCAGCCCAATCCTACCCCTGCCTCGCACACGGGGAAACCCAGACTCAAGGGGAAGCTTCGGCCCCCGGCTCTCGCTTTTGTCCTGACTCCAATGCTCTGGCCACGTGCTCACCCAGATCTAGCCGGGGGCCCTGACCCAGACGAGGGGTCAGAGGTCGCGTGGCCTCACCGTCACCCACCTCGGGCTCTTTTCAGGGATGAAGAGGCCAGGCCTCATCTCACATCTGGTCCAGCAGCCCCCTCGCCCGGTGACCCTCCCAGGGGAGTGCCCAGTCCTCAGGGTCCCCCCAATCTGGTCAAGCGTGGGGAGTGGTTAGTGTGTTATGTGGGGGCCACATGTGGGGCCCCTTGGCTGGCTGGTGCCTCGCTGTGTCTGGGCCCTGGCCCCCTACCCTCCCGTGGGCTCCAGCCAGGCCAGGGCCCCACATGGGGACCAGAAGTCCTGTGTGCGCATACCTTCCTCCTGGACTTCTGCGGCTGAGGGGCGGGCGGGCAGAGGAGAGAGGAGAGGGTTAGGCCAGGAGCACACACAGCCCTCCGGGTGGGTCACTGTGAAGCCCGGCCCGTGGGCAGGTGGGCTGCGGGGAGGGTGTGAACCAGGCCCTGGACCCGCATACTCACCTTCCTCCTGGGCCTCCTCTGAGCCGGGCAGCGGGGGCAGCGGGGGCAGCGGGGGCAGAGGGAGAGAGGGAGAGAGGGGCAAGGACAGTCATTAGTGGCGAACGGGGCTGGCGGGGAAAGGAGGCGGCACGGACAGGGGCTCAGAGCCCCGGCCTCAGCCTGCTCTGCAGGGCC